TAAGAAGTCTTGAAAGTACAAGGTTTTCTGATTCATCGGTTTGAGGCACAAGGACGTTTCTGTGGGCGAATTGAATCAGCAGAACTTTCGTCATCAAGACTTCTATTCCTTTACAAACATCTTCGTTTCGTGTGGGAAGCGTACCGCTTATTTTATTCAGTACTACGAATAATTTAAAAAATTACTGTTATAAAGAAGGTTTGCTGCAGAAGCTTAGTTGCCAAGTAGTTCAGTCGTTTCCGGTGTCGAATTGCCTGAAATTCGCTGAAATTGAAATCATGCAAGACGTTGAGTGTCTCTAATTTGGGTACCCAAAAGTGCCGCGTAAAAAATGGTTACATGGATCTCATACGCTCCGACGTTGGGCAATCATAGTAGTTGTAATATTCACGAACGTTTGAGGTACAAAACGACTAAATGTAAACGAATGTGCATCTCAAGCAGTCTAATGTTCTGCGACACATCTAAAGTTAGTGACAAACAAACCAGATTCATAGTTACTGTGACATACCGACTAAGCATCGTCGAGCACCATTGAGACGTGGTCTGGTTAGATGGTCCCCTAGGCGACTTGAAGCAGAGGTACGGTGCTTAAGCCGCTTCAGTCAGGTATCAAAAACTAAAAGGATTATATATCTCAGCGCAGTATCGATAACTAGCAGTATGCTAGTAAACCCAGAAGACCTGGTTTTATTTTTGTTTTTCCATCTTTTTTTGTTTCACAAGCTAAAAGCATTTTCGCCCTGTTACGAAATATGGTGACTTAGAATTTTGGATTTTGCAGAAATATAGGAAGTAAACGAGAAACTTTATGCGTAAGAATGATACGATTGTGAAACATGCTTCATGCCTTAATGATTTTCATTTTCACAGTCTTGCTGGGCGAGTGGCTGGAAATTTTCTCGAAGACCAACAGCAGCTTTCAGCGCTGATTTCTTGAATAAAGCCAAGAGGTACGGTATCTGCAGCGACCAGCGAGGTTATTCTCCAGGTAAAGTGTTTTCTCAGGCAATTAATTACGCGAAACGTAGAAATAATGAAAAACATACATTTGCTTAGATATCTTGACATCGTAAGTCAGCAAGAAAACTTGTCGTGTACGACTTTTCTATTGCTATGCATAAAATATCCCCTTTGTAACACTGCCGAGTAAAAGCTGTTACGTGCTATGGATTAAATAATTTTAAAGTCATCAACGATGGCGTCCCGGGGATGACTTGAACGAAATAAGTCTTCTGATTTTACGGTTGGCAGCGCGAGAAACAAGAAAAGTTTATATACAGAAATTCCAGTGTTTAAACAAAATAAGCACCAGGCAGTGGACAAGACTGAAAAGCAGATTGCTGGATCAGTTGGGTCATGACCCGATTGATGGACGTTTGAGCAGCCGTAAGGTAATGCTTTATGTCGCGAAAATGTCAAAGGAGCTAACGCAACCGTTGCAAGTTCTGTTTTTGCTGGCTGCGATGTGATTCTTTGATCAACAGTTTCGTTTGGTCGTGTCGAAATGATTATCATGATATCTACATTATAAATCCATTATCACCGTCCTCTTGGGCTTAGGCAACAAAACCAGAATGATCAACGTTATGGTACGTCTTGATTGTCCTGTGTTCCGCCAATATTAACTTCAACGCTCATTACGTCTTGCGATATAAATTCGATTACAACTATTGTTGCATGCAATTTGATAGACAAAGTTTTTACTCTCCAAGCTGGAGTAAGAATCAAGCTTGTCATATAACAGATTTTCGAAGGTTTGGCCACACAAGAAACATACAGTAACACTGACACCGTACACATTTCTCTGTATATCGATTAATTCCCTCAATAATAACAGGCATATAAAGTAGCGAGGAACCGAAATTACAGTCCGGGTGGGGCAAACGAAATTTATGGTATTAAATACAAAATAAATTTAATATTTCGTATAGTTTGAACAAACACAATAAGTAGATCACCGAATAATAATGTATATCCGTTTTTAAGGAATGTTGAAGTTTCTTGACTTCGCCCCTGAGCAACTGGTCATCAGCGCAATAAATTACAGGCCCATGATGGATGTATTTCACGATATTGATAAAGAAAAATTTAGGAATGTACGACAAAGTTATAAGGTAACGGTTAGTGTTGTGGTTTTTCATGTACCTAATCATGCATTAATCATCATGCATTTAACTCATTATTAAATGAGTGCGAAATCCTTCGATTATCTTCTAAAACGTCACAGCAAATTACATATATAGGCAAACTGCTGCTGTTGGGATAAACGAAGATTTATTAAACCAGAATCGCAGCCAACTGGTTCTGCCAGCAGTAAACATGGAAAATCGGCCACCAATATCACAAAAATAAAAAAATCCAGC